TTCTAGCGATGATCTGCGTGACGTAGTTAGCAAAGTCAATCACTCAGCATATTGGTCACTCTGATACTGCTTGTGACACTTTTAATGGTTTTTTGTCTTTCATTCTTAAGCATTCAGTACATTTATTTTGAATAAACAGACTCAAATGCACTATCAATGTACTTTCATCGCCGGGGTGCTGAGTGAAATGCTTCCATATTTTGAATAACTTTGCGACAATTAATACGAAAAGTTATATTTACTTTAAAACTTGAAAAAGTGCGCAATTAGAGCCAGTTGTTTTGATTGGACAATTGATTTAGCAGCAACTCAAATTTACTAACAATCTTTTTTATTAGGCATATTACTTTTCAAGTAGTAGTACTATCCTGCACCAAATAGCTTTCAATGCAATTAACTTGTGGCTATTGATACCTGACTTGCGAAATTGTACAGGTGATGGACTTTGCAATATTACTTGCCGCTAATTGGCAATTCGCAAATACCCTTTTGAATTTTAAATTATTTTTTAAAATTTGATAATAACAATGCTGTCTTCCGTCAGCATCCATCTCACAGTATTATTCCCCTACATGCATTTCTCACCAGCAGTGAAAGTGAGTCTGAGTGACCATCAGCTTCTTTTTCATCTGATACTTTTAAGAAACTTAAAAACCACCCAACGCAGTTCAAATGCAAAAGACAGTTCAACCGCTGCGCAAAGGGGAAAAGTACCTCCTACCCGAGTACCTCCTCTATCAAAGGACAGGTTAGTTTCTTCGGAAATTTCCCATCGTCATTGATGTCTCACGTTACCAAGTGACCAGTCAAATCAGCACTAGCAGAAGCATTTCGGCGGTGCAACAACCATCAAATGATGGTCATGGCAAGAGGCATTTAATTAAAGCTGCTTGAACCCAACAAACAAAACTCGATGTGCCTCATCAGCTTGAGTACACTGAGCTTAAAACTAGAAATTAGAACAAATCCACTTAGTATTTTTAGATAATTGAGTTTAATCTTGCTTGTTATTTTCCTAGATTTTTTAACGGACAACATTGGTACTTCATTTCTGTGAGCAGCATTTCAAACTGAGATTGTCAAAACCAAAATACGTGAAAGACGGGGAAAAGTTTAATGTACTTTAAAGAATAAAAATCCAATTTAAAATAAAAATTACTTGGTCAACTTTTCTGATACTTAAAATGGAAAAGATACCAAGTTTAGGTTTAAAACCCATGTCTCGTCTTCTGAAATTAATTGCCAACAATTTGCGCAATTGACTATCTCACGCAATTGACTATCTCAAGCTCAGTCTGGTGGCAAATTTTCAAGCTAAGTATTGCAAATGCATTCCTGCTAAATTCACACGCTATCGCTAAATAACACTTTTTATTTAGCCGCATATTGAATCTGATTATCTCATCCCCACCGCAAAAACATGCATTTTATTTTAAATTTCACACTCTATAGATTACCTGTAAGTCAGATGATTAACTTTAAAGGATTAACAACAAGCACAAAATTCAGTTAGAATGATTTATTTGCACCTGTGTAGCTTCATATGAGCTTGTGCCTGACATTCGGCTAATTTGAGAATCGGAAGCAAAAAGGAGAAATGCCACTTTGGCAGTTGCCAGTCGGCAAAGTTGAAAAAGCTGTGTAGAACAAAAACAAAGTTTTTCTACGTGAAAAAAATCATTTCAAATAAGAAAGCAGTCGGAGAACATTTTGTGCACAAAAGGTCCAAGTGTGCACTGCCAAATACCAAGTTAGGATTGAGTCGGGTCTTCAACGCCCACACAGCCTACTGGCTGGGAATGTTCAATCGGGCATTCACCGGTCTGGTCACAGTTCGGGAGATGATGACATCTTGCAGTGGGCGGTCACTGGCGTCTCTTGCCACATTGGCAATTTGGTTTACCACCTCCATTCCAGAAACGACCTAAGAGAAACAATATTAACATTTTTCCTAAAAACGGTTTATAAAAATTTACCTTTCCAAAGACGCAGTGTTTATTGTCCAGATGAGGCAGAGTGGCAAGAGTGATGAAAAACTGAGATCCATTAGAGTCTTTTCCTGTATAATTAATTTAAATATTTAGCTTTCACGAGAGGTGTAATTAAAAGATCTAAACGTGTGTACCTGAGTTTGCCATGCTCAGCAAACCTGCCTCAGTATGCTTGATGCTAAAGTTTTCATCAGCAAAACGTCCACCGTAGATGGAGATTGAGCCTCTGCCGTCACCGCGAATGATATCACCTCCCTTCATTGAGTTTATAGCCGATTAAAATGTTGAAAAATCAAAGCAACAGAAGGGGCAGACAGGGTGCACTTACTTGAATAACAAAGTTGGGGATTACCCTGTGGAATCGACTGTTTTTATAGTTGTAATTGTTGTTCTGCACTTGAAAGCCATTAGAACTGGCAAAGGTTGCAAAATTGGCGACAGTCTTTGGGAGATCACGTCCAAAAAGTGCAATCACTATTGTGCCAGCTGGCTTGCCGCCGATGGAGATGTCAAAGATGGCCTCCTCGGTGACGTCGATCAGCTTGGCCGTTACGAAGTTGGTGCTGCACACCAAAGAGATGGCTGCCACTGCCAAGGCGGCACTGCGAAAATGGCTGAGTCGTTTCATGGTAGGTGTAATGGAAAATTAGATCAGTTGGTAAAAAATCCTCCCGTTTATATAGTAGAAAAAGCGGTGAGCCCGAGAAAGAAAAGTGTCCTGGGCGAGGGAGAAATTAGCACTAGTTGCTGCAAGGGCGTTGTGTCAGTGGCTGTGTCAAAGCAGTGCAGCAGCGGTGAGGTGAGAATTCACTGGACTATCAAGCGAGGAAGCTAATCGAACGAGCTGATCAGACGCAAATAGACTCGTTCTATTTTAGTGCCAGTGCCACCGTACTCGTTTGTCCACCACCACCTCGGTGTAATTTCTCGTTTCGACAGACGACAGCCGCCACCACCGCGGTGGACAGGACAGCGGCATTGATGGACAGGTCTCCGATCTGTTGGGTGGTGGTGGTGATAGTGATGGACTTCTAGGTAGACACTCGGGCAATCACTGAACTCAGCAGCTCACAAGTATATCAGTTGGCATCGCTCTGACGGTGCATAAATCAGCCAATTATATAATTAGAACTGACAGAGAGCACTTTGCGTGAGTTGAATTTTGTTCCCTTTTAGAATGGTATTACATTTCTTCAAAGATTTCCCCGAGTTCTATAATAATCTTTGATAGAAGAAGAGCAGAGTGTCTGTTTGTTTGATCAATTTTCTCTTTCCAAACTTTTTAAAACCCAATGGATTCCAGTAGTAGTAGTCATGGTTGTGCTAGTAAGGAGGCGAACAGTAAGGACTCAGCGATTGGCAAGTCTAGCTCTGAACAGTCGTCAGCACTGAACCGGAATCAGACAGCCTCAGCGCTTGGTAACACCGCCCTGGTGGAAAGCATTCGTGGAATCTACAGCAGCACCGCCGCTCCGCCCAAACTTGCCTCCACAAAGGAGTTCACCAGTCTGGGCTTCACCTTCAACCCGACTCACTACCAGCATGGCTACTACAGCAAGTTCTACCGAGCTCAGAACAAGAATCAGGAGAAGATCATACTGAAGACGCTGCAACTTAACAAGCTCAAGTCCATGTACAAGAGTCAGACGATTGACGAGAGCTGCAAGATCCTAGAGTACATGGGCAAGTGGGAGAAGGTGCCCCATGTGGTACAGCTGTACGGGCAGTTTCTGGTGGGCGACACTCTGCACATCTTCATGGCGTACTACAGTGAACGGTCGATTCACTACAAAATGCGATCAGTGGCCCTCTTCAGTGAGGGCCTCACTCGCCAGTGGACTCGTCAGCTGGGCGCAGTTTGCAAGTTCATGCAAGAGAGGGGAATCGTTCACAGGTGAAAAAATGTGTGTGTGTGTGCTCACATTGTTTTCACCAATATTTTTTGCAGATCCATTCGCTTGGAGCACCTGCTGTTGGATCAACGCGAAAACCTCTACCTAACTGGCTTTACGCGGGCCATCTTTTTGCTGAACCCTCACAACTTTCAGCTGAACAAGTGCAATCGCGAGTTTCAGTGTCGAAAGAAAAACCACCTTCCTCCCGAGTCCTTTGTCGGCTCGAAGCACAGTCCAGTGCAGATTGACCAGTGGTCACTGGGGGTGATAATCGCCTCGCTCTCCACCAGCCGCCATCCATTCAATCCAAAGCTGCTGACCTTGGTGGGCTTTGAGCAGCAGTGGCAGGAGTTTGTTGCTAAACACGGCGCAAAGATGAACCCCGCCGTTGTGGCGGCGCTCAATAGGCTCTTCGTCAGACAGGAAAATGAGCGAATACACCTCAATGAGCTACTCAACATTGAGTTTATGGCCCACCCTGAAAAGAAATCGGTGAAGAAGAAATCACCGACAAAAGTGAAGCCCAGTGGAGTGGTAGTGAGGAGCACAGTGGCGACCCATTCAGTGGCTCATCCAGAAGGCGGTGCAAAGTCATCAAAGAAGGCTAAAGCTGAGGTGAATCCAACAAGTGGGCCGAAAAAGTCGAGTAAAGTAAAAAGCAAAAAAGCCGCCCCAAAGTCGACCAAAAAGTCTTCTAAAGGTAAAAGTGTGGCGCCAGAGGAGAAGTCAGCAAAGCAAGACAAAGTTCAAAGTAAGTAAAGTGCACCTTGCTTGGTTACATTTTTATGTTTACAAGTGTGCATTGCCCTTTAGAATCGCAAGATGCAAAAACTTCCACCACTGATACGACAAATCAACCGCCTGGAATGTCTGAAGCTGAGGCTGTAAAGTCAGAAAGGAAACACCAAGAAGTGAAAAAAGAAATTGATAAAACTGCAAGATCAAGTGCACATGATGATGGGGGTGGTGGTGGTGGTGGTGAACCTTTACACAAAAGCAATAGCGAAGTTCCAGAAGGCAAGTGATCAGCTGGCAAAGATATAAGAAGTATTATTAGGTTTTTAATTTTCAGTTTTGATACATTTTTGTATATTTCACTGAATACACCAGATGCTTACAGATCTGTGCTCTTTTTTGGTCCAAAAGTTATGAGATCGTCGTCCATGTTTGAATTTGCTAGACTTTCATCAAGTTCAGGAATACTATCTTCATTTAATGTTAAATTGTTAATTTTCTTATTTAAGTTGCCTTCTTGTGCTTGGCGATTAATCCTCTCCACTTCAGGCCTATAGTTCTCCTCATAGTCTTTTGCGGCCGTATGAATGGCCTCAATCAATTTGTCGAAACCATTGCCCGTTTTTGAAGAAATACTTACGACGGGCAAGTCTTGGTAAAATATATCCAATGCACTAGTAAGCGACTGGTTGAGGCAAGCCATGTAGGTCGGGTCTTTGTTGATGGCCGCTTCAAAAACTTCCGAGTCCTGCATCCACTCAATGGCAAAGGTGGGATCAATGACATCGCTTTTGTTGAGCGCCACAATCATTGGAATCTTGTACTTGTACACAATCGAGCAAGCATAGAGCATGTTGGACATGAAGGTAGTTGGGTTTTGGCTGCGAACTGTATCGATGACAAACAGAATAACAGTTGGAAACTTTTGGGCTAATGCTTCGGTGATAATGGTGCCCGAAGCTGACCAAGTGAATACTTCGACTTGGCCTGGAGTGTCAAAAAGAACGTATCTAGAATAGAAACACATAAGATTAAAAACGTTACATCAAAAAGTAATCTTACTTGTGCTTGTCCTTCCGCTTATCAATCAAGGTAAGAACTTGATCAAAGTTGGTGACAAACAAGTTCAGCGACGTAATAATTGAGCCATTCGGACCAAGACCGTACTTTTGCATTACATTTTTGTAGTGGACAGTGTCTCGAATGTCAACATTACACAAGTAGTCAGTGTTCATGCAGGCAGGGTCACAGTTGATGACATAGGGAGGTGTGTTTTTGCCATGCAAATAACCGACAAGTTTGGAGCAGAGTGAAGATTTGCCACTGCCTGCCATTCCCAGGATGATCACACACGTGGGATTCTTCGCCTCTTCCTTTCCTGGCAACGATGAACTGTGTGACGCCTTCTGCGTTGGTTCAGTTTCGTCCATTACTTCACACTTACTGGGCTCAGTGTCAATGTCCATTTTGAATTTGAAGAGTCTCAAAGAAGTTCAAATTGAAACGCAAGTATCTGAAAAGTGCAGTTTTGAAAAACGTGATGAAAACATCGGGGATCACGTGATTCTCAGGGCGTTCATAAAGTGCGTTATTATTTAAAAATTTAAAAAAATTTTAATTTGCTGTTTTGAACAAACAACCACAACCCTAACAAGTTTTTTACTTTTATCTATTTGGATGTTATTTTCTATTTTAACAAAAAATAGTTGTGTTTCTTTTGTGCATTATTATCCTTTCGTGGGCGTAGTTGGCCTACAATATATCGTTTATCGACGTCAGTACAAGGTAGTGTTCCTCTACAGTAAATATAGACACACGGATGAGTTCCTGAATCAGCTGCAAGTAATGTCCAGTAGTGCAGAGTGATCAATGGCTACCATCAATATTGTCTTTACCTGACCTGAATCCTTTCACTCACAGTAGCTCACTTCACTCACCTTGTCTCTGTCTCTGTCAGTGTGTCTGCGTTGCCTGCACTGAGCAAGATGGAGCTGTATGCTTTCCCTTTTAATGTTCATCTGCCCAAAATGACCGCGATCTGTTCGTTCGATTGTAATCTCCATCCGTGACGCCTCGTGCAGGCGACGGCGAAGTGTGTCAGACGGACTGTGGCAACCACAAACTGTGCTGGCCACTAACTAGCAAACAAGGGAGACTGCACACTCGCCCGTCCGAGTAGCATCATCATCTCATTGAGGCACCTCTCACTACTTCTCATTCCCCTCTCATTCATTCACTCTCACTCTCACTTTTTTTCCTGCCGCCACCAGCGTGGACATCATCACAAAGCACTCGAAGATAGCACCGACTTAGCATCGGAGCCCTTCATCACTTCAAGCACTTCACTTCACCTGTGTCTAAACCAGCCGTACCTCCAGTGAGATGGACAAAACCACCTTAGTTTACCTTCCTTTTGTTGTTGGCATCACATTCTGTGCTTCTCTGCTCTCTTCCGCCAGTGTGATTGTCGATAACCCGTTAGACGGTGAGTCGACTATTTTTTACAATGTGCACCACAAGTAGTGTAGGCAACTGCATTGATTGCCAATTTACACTCAATCACGATGATTCAGGAAAAAAGTGTTTTCTGTCAATATTTTCATTAACAATTTTTTCTTTCTTTCTAGATTCAGACATGAATGGCATCAACGCTAGTGTGTGGCAGGATTTACCCCTTGAGATGGACGATAAAAGCCCTATAGTACTGATTGCAAAGCCTTTCTCACAGATGGATTCCTTTGTCAGATCATCAAACGCCAGCGATGTTCGAATGAATCAAACGGAGGACTTTTTTGCGTCAATCATTGTCACGGCCACTCCTCCTGCTGCCTCTAACCAACTTCGGAAAAGTGCTTCTGCTGATGGCACTTCTGCTGATGGTAGTACGAGCCACGAGTCTTCACCGGCTGAGGGGAGCTTTGTTAGCTTTGCAAATTTCCGCAAAAAATTCTCTCGATTGATTCCACTGTAACACTGACCATAGGTACCTGACACTACTTACTAGCAATTCTACTGTCGATCTGTCCTTGGCATTTCCTGTATGTCATCTTCGATTGTCGATAAACACATGCTCTAAACTACCTTCAATAACATTTTCGCACACAATCACTTTGAAAATTGGCGGCATTAGCCAATGTGTGTGTGTGGAGTGTCTCTCTCTCCCTCTCCTCAATTGAAATGATTCAGCTGCGACCACTGTGTGCAGTGTAGCTCTGCCTGCAACCCCTACTTTCCTGCACTCACATGTGATCGCCTATCAGTAGTAGGGAAAGTCAAGACGACAGTGGGTGAAAGAGAGTGTCTGTGTGGCTGCGAGCTTGGTTGGTTGGATGTGTGAGGCGAGTGATGCGCTTTTGATTACAGTCGCAGCAGGCTGCAGAGCTGCTGGCAGAGCTAATGCTCGTGCTCACTTGTTTATGTCTTCCACACTGTCTGCTTTCACACTGCCCAAATTCATTGATCGCTCATCAGTGTCACCTTTCTGCCCTAATGCCCTTTTTTAGAAACTGACTGAACATCATCATCATCATCATCATCGACTTGAACCTTTTTGATGTCTTTTTGTCAAGCAAAGCTTCTCTTTTTTACAGTGCAAAAGACCGCTACCAGTCAGCCTGAATCACCACAATGGGCATGTTTGCCACCATTCTCATCGTCTTCTTTTCAGTGGTTGGCCTGTGTTTGCTGATCTCCTTCATGCAACTGTGCTGTCCCATCTCCTGCATGATGGTGGCCAGTTGTCGGAAGAAGAAGCGTTCCGGTGATGTGGAGGGCTCTCCAACGGCGGCTACCGTTATCATCAGCAGCAGTCCAATGCCCGTAACACTGGACGACTTTGTGGAGAAGCCACCTACGTATGAGGAGGCAGTGAGGCAGCCCTAAGTCACTCCCAGCCCAGTTTCTCATTGCCCAAATGGCTCAGCTCAGTTCTAGTCAGGCCATGTCCACTCGCTTCCGACCATCAACTACCTTCATCCATTGCATTTGTTCCCTTTCCATTCTCCCATTTTTGTCATGATCTACAAAGAAGAAGAAGAAGAAGAGGTGTTCGCCCCGTCATTAGCACCAACCTGTTGCGCCTCACTGAACACTGAGCACGGAGTATCAATTGATCAGCGGACTGTTCCGTGTGTCCAAGAGATTGGCGAGTGCACACACCGACACACAAACACACCCAGCTGGACGAGTACTTCAACTGCTGCTGCCTTCTTGTGATAATCTTATTATAACAAATGCTAATAAAGTCTGTCGTGATTAATAGTGCCATTTTAGTACAGTCTCAACTTTTAGGCCAGATCTTGCACTGGCCTGTGTGATCTTGCAGTTTATTTCACTGAACATTTAGCAAGAGCTAGTCATTGAGCTGATCAATGGCATCCACCACTTGCGTCCCCTTTGTTTGCATATCAGCTCCCTTAATGTGTATAATTTCAGTTAAATGAATGATTAATTCATTAATGACAATAATGAGTCAACTGAACTACTGCACACGTTCGTCTTCACGGGCAGAGAGCTCTTTTTAGAGGTGACCAGTGACTACTGACAGGTCAGCAAGCGATAAGAGAAGATGGCAGTGGTCATAAGAACAGTTCTCAGTTGAATATGGCGATTGCCTGATGTCACACATTGAAGACATTTAGTTATGACAATAGCAGCAGTGCAGCACTACTCTCTTACTGGTGTCCTCAGAGGAGCTTCTTAATAGTAGCGGGTGTGGTGCCCACAATGTGAAGTCAACAAAAATGATGAGACCAGTTTGGTGACAAAGACTGTGGACAGAAGGGAGAGGAGCGGGCGGACGCGGCTAGCATGTTAACTCGCGTGTCATCTTAATTACCAACCTCAGCAGCGTCTCAACTCTTCAGGCGACCGTTGCTCCTTGCAGTGGCCGTCCATTCATTCATTCATTCACTCATTCATGCATCCCAAACACTGTCTTCCCCCCACTCACTCACTCACTCACTTGGAGGCCCTCGTGCGCTCGTGCACTTCAACGGGCACTGCAGGCAACAGGCACAGAGGAGGCATCGGAGGCAGTGAAGCGGAGATGGCACAGGGGACGCATCTTGGTGACTTCGAACGTGACACTGAACAGAAAGCCAAGTGTGCAGTGTGGAGTATGAACGGGCAGAAATTGCAGCACTAGCACTAGCACTAGCCTAAACACACTCAGTCCGTCGACGCCCGTCAGCAGTGGCTGGGAAAGCCGACAGATGCACCGAGAGTGATTTGTCCGCAACTCTGTCCTCCTCTGCGACAACAGCAACAGCAGCAGCAACAGCTTCCTCTCTGCTCCATCAGCGATGTGAGAACTACTCTGCTCACTCCTCAACGGAAAGTCATCGATAATTCGCTTTCCGCTTTCCTTGGGGACAGACTGCTTAGGCAAACCGACATTTGCAGCAGCACGTACTACGTACCACCGGTGCACGAGCTGTCAGTGCCAGCAGTCAGAGTATATCTCTCTCTGTCTGTGCCCTACTGCCTCAACTGCCGCAAGCCAGTGCGTGTGCAACAGTGTGCAGCAGACGGCTGCCACCGTTCCCCGGCCCTCGCCTCAGACCCCACCTCATTCAGAGAAATGCCCCAAGACTTTCCTGCTGCCGCCTCTACTGGTGGCCCCTTTAAATGTGAAGCCACTGACGAGACCAAGTTCAGTTGCGATTGCAGGACCGTCCCTGCCGCAGTCTTCAATTTTTCTGCTTATTCTCTACTTTGAACACTTTATTTTGATTTTTGAACCAATTTCTTGAAACAAATTGATATAAAATTTTGTTTTTTATTTAAAATGCTCGTTTGAAAACAACACCTGATCTCTTTTTGTGCATCGCTACAACTAAAAGTATTCTCAACCACCTAAAATGGATCTCAACTTGCCAATTAGTCTCACCGTTTTCATACTCATCATCTCCTCGGCTCACTCATCACTGACCACCAACTCAGGTATGTAACAGTTAGTCCAAACAAGTTGATCACATTTTGTCTTAAATTCAATCTGTTGAATGGCCGTTGAGAACAATAGTCAGTTAGTGTCTTGAAAATGAACATCAGTCCTTAGTGTCCGTTATGTTATTCCAGTAGCGAGACCACATCTGTCACCGCCAATCACTGCGCTACAGTGGTGGCATATGTGTCCCTGCATCTGTGTTTGCCCAGACACGCGCACTTATTCACTTGAAGTGTGTCTCGCAATTAACAGTTGCCTAGCTAATTAGAGGCCAAGGCAAACCAAGCTTTGCAGTCAGAGGGCAAACACAAGCGAGCAGAGAACGTGCGAGTGGACCGAACATATGGTCCGTCTTCAGCGACATATGGCTTCTCCGGAAACCGCTAAGGTCGTCGCCGGCTGTTACTGCTCTGTTACTGCTACTGCAACTGTTGTCTGCTGCTGCCGTCTGCCCCTCTTCTTTGCCTTCCCCAAGACGGGAAAAAGAGCGACTTGAGAGTGACTGGAAGACGAAGACGAAGAAGAAGGGCACTCTTCTCCCTCTTTTCCGTCTTCTCCTCACTCTCTTTTTTCTCCTCCTCGTCTCTGTTTACACCTGTCCGCAGCCCAGCTGCCGCAGTCTGGCCAACGGCAACAACAGCGGCAGCTGTCACTGACCGACTCACTCGCCTAGCCCTAGCCTTGCTGCCTAGTCCCCCATTAACAGGGCCAGGTGACCCTCTCTTTTCCTTCTTCTCCTTCTCAGTTGTGTTTGTGTCCCTGTCTTTCCCTTGCTTTTAAAGTTTAAAAGGACCCTCAAGGAAATGGTCGTTTCCCCCTTGGTTCACACAACCGCTTTTTAGCCATCATCTGCTCACATGTGACTTACCTTTGCTTCGCTTCTTTTCCTTCTCTTTTCATCTGCAGCTTCAGCAGCTTCTGCTTCAACAAGGTCTGGTAATCAGGCTACCAAGGCCTCTTGTGGCTTTCCGGGAAGCCCAAAGGATGGCCGAGTACTACACTTGCTGGAAAAGTACGAAGAAGGCATGGTGGTCACATTTGAGTGTGACGTTGGGTTCTACCTGCTTGGATCAATGACGAGGACCTGTTTGTCGAATGGCACCTGGTCTGGCAGCATGCCCGTATGCGGTAAGCACTTCATTTTCACCAACTCTCCTTCCGATGTACTAAATGTTGATCGTCACCTTGCAGATCAATCAGTGAAAGCCTTGGGACTGACCTCAGCATCTGAAGCTCTTCTCAACTACCCACCTCAACTGGCCGCTGACGGTAATTTTCGCACCTGTTTCTTCAGCAATCGTCGCAAGCCTCGCTGGTGGCGTGTGGAGTTGCCAAAGCAGACACTGCTCAACCAGTCCATCATATCAGTCGCCTTGACTTTGCCTCCTATTCGTATGTATTCTCATTGTCTTGTTTACCTTCAGTTTATTAACAACTTGTTTTTTCACAACAGATGCTGACTTGCATTTTTCAATTTACGTTATTGAAACCAATGAAGTGAAAGAGACCTCCAATGAAACGGCTAACGATGTCGATCAGACCAACTCGGCGCCCAACAGCTCTAAATACCACAAATGTGCTTCTTTTCGTGGTGTGTTCTCCTCCAAAACCATCGTGATTCAGTGCGCCAAGGGTGGACTGAAGGGCAACTATTTGCAGATTGAGGATGACTACCCTCAGCTGGAGTACTTTGGCCTATGTGAAGTAGACATTTTTGTGGAACGTGACTCCTACGAATGTGGCCCGGCTGAGGTGCCCTCAAACGGTTATGTCCTCGCCAAGTCGAACCAGTCGACAGAGATTGAGTACTCCTGCAATGATGGCTTCAAGCTGGTGGGCGAACCCAATCGGTCTTGTGACCGCAAAACAGGCCAGTGGTCAAGCAGTGAGCCGTACTGTGAGCGAATCACTTGCTCTGCTCCCACTGCCATCAGCAATGGCTTCTACCGAGTCTTCGGCGACCACCAGGAAGTTCCAGTGGTGGGCACTCGAACTGTCTACGAGTGTGCGCCTGGATACCTGTTAGTTGGCGTCAACGACACCAGGCAGTGCGACGCTACCGGGGAATGGTCCGGTCAGAAACCATACTGCGAAGGTATGCACTGCTGAACTATGAGGTTCAATTGTCTTTATGCTAATTCTATTGTACAATTTTGCAGCCATTGACTGTAACCATCCTGAAACTCTGCTGGTAAACATCGACGACTTTATGCTGTATGGAGCCCAGTTTCGTCTGCTGAACAGTTCCACCAAGTACTCTGCCATTGCTGAGCTCATCTGTCCGTTCAGTGAAAGTGTCCATCGCGGCAGCAACCATACTTCCAGACCCAATTTGACCTTTCGTTGTAGGGAGGATGGCATTTGGACTGAAATTAACTTGTCAGCCAGTAATGAAACCGGAAAAGTGGAGAATGGAGGGTTTCAGAAGGCACACTCCTGTGTTAGACAGCGGCACAACGGTATGCTGTACTTCTTCAACACTGGTCACAAGGGAGCAAAGCTTCGAAAATCGTTCTACTTTCGCGACAACTCCGTCAACATGCTGCATTTCTTAGCTGCAGTCGTCGTGACGGCTTTCATCTGCATTTTAATTATAATTGTGCTCTTATTCAAACGGTAAATATTTAGCAGTTTCAAAACAAAAGAGCACTGCTAATTAATTGATTGTTTATTTAGGCAAATCATCGAGTGGCCTGACAACCTGTGCTCTCCGTTTAGCGATCGCGCCAAGGCATTCGGTCAAACCGTCAAACAGGGCGCCTCAAATATGTTTGCTCAAGTTCAGTCCTTTTTTCGAGAAAAGTTGAGTCAGCAAACAGGCGATGAAAGTACGACAAAAGAGCCGTCATTCACTATCACAGCTTCAGTGTCGGACATTGAAAGCGCCCGAGGCAGAGATGAACCCTCTGCAGCTGACACAGTGGAGGAAGTCAAAGAATTTGAGACGAACTTTTCTTCATTTTACGACGAAATTAAAAACGCTGCTCGGCAAGTCTTCTCCGAAGACACTGATCGAAAACTGCTGAGGGCAGCTCGAATCGCCGCTGAGCTGGACGTCATTAAGAGTCAGTACGAGTCGAACTACCACTGGATATACCCGCCGACCCAGCACACCGGCAGCAGCTCTCTGCCCCCTTCGCTGAACCCCTCAGTGCACGAGTCCAGTCACATTCCCTCGTCTGGACAGATATACGCCAAGGTGGATCTAATTCGAAAGCATCGCTACCGACGGGAGAAGGACTCCACCACCAGCAGTCCCATGACCAGCCCCATTACCAGCGTGTACCAGGTGCCACCCCGTCCTCGTCACATGGCCATCGACCCCAACAGCAGTCTCATTAGTCAGTCAAACGGATGCACGGTGTACCAGCTACGGAAGGCCATCTCTAGTCCTGAAGCGGTCTTTGTGGAGGGCGAGTACGCCACCATTAGGAGGTTGCGACTAGATCAGCTGGCCAGCGCCAACTACAACGGTGGTGGCGGTGCTGTTGCCCTCGACCAGACGCCCATTCTAGCTCAGCAGATCAACCCGATTCCCATTCAAACGCTGCTCTAATCATGCCCATTTCTAGCCAGTCTTTTCTTGCAATGTCACCTGGCAGATGTAAAAATTGCAGCTCTTTCTTGTTCACTACTGTAAATAGATGGAGTGATAGTGTAAATACGTTATCCGCTTTCTAGTGCATACTATGCATAGTCTCCATGTGATTAAAGAGTGCACCAAATTGGTGCCAATGATTACCACTGACACTGTATTAAACGAACTGCACTACGAGAGAGATAAGTAACATCAGTTTATTGATTCAAGTGGACGATAAGATAGACAGACACTTAAGTAAGTGGAGTAAGTGTATCACCAGTATTCAACGATTCATACTAAGTTATACGATTCAGCTTGCTCTTGATGAGCGCCTCCAAAGTGCGAACATCGGCGGCAAACTTTCGAATGCCTTCGGCCAGCTTCTCAGTGGCCATCTCATCCTCGTTCAGCTCCCAGCGGAACTTGGCCTCGTCGTAGTGCAGTTTCTCCGCAAAGAGGTCCTTCTGGGGGGCAGTGGCGGCGTCCAGGGCCTTCTCCACCTTGACGGTGCTTTCTGCCTCCAGTTGGGCGAGCAGCGAGGGGGCAATGGTGAGCAGGTCACAGCCGGCCAGTGCCTTGATTTCGCTGATGTTGCGGAAGGAGGCGCCCATGACCACCGTCTTGTAACCGTGGTGTTTGTAGTAGTTGTAGATGGTGGTCACCGACTGCACGCCCGGGTCGTCCGCCGGGTTCTCGTACACGGCCTTGCCCGTCTTCTTCACGTAGTAGTCGTAGATGCGACCGACGAAGGGCGAGATGAGGGTGACGCCCGCCTCGGCGCAAGCCACTGCCTGGGCGAAGCTGAAGAGCAGCGTCAGGTTGCAGTGAATGCCGTCCTCCTTCTCCAGCACCTCCGCCGCCTTGACGCCCTCCCAGGTGGTGGCCAACTTGATGAGGACGCGCTCCTTGGGGATGCCCTCCTTCGCGTACAGAGCGATGATCTGCCGGGCCTTCTTGATGGACGCCTCGGTGTTGAAGCTGAGGCGAGCATCGACCTCGGTGGAGACGCGCCCCGGGATGATCTTGAGAATCTCCACGCCAAAGAGGACGCACAGGTAGTCGAGGGTGGTCTCCAGCGTCTCTTTGCCACCATGTGCCTTACCGTACTCGACGGCCTTATCAAAGAGATGCGAATACTGCGGCAGCTTGGCGGCGGCCAGCATCAGCGACGGGTTGGTGGTGGCGTCAGTCGGACGGAAGGACTTCATTGACTCAAAGTCGCCCGTGTCAGCCACCACGACGGTGCCCAGGGCGCGAATCTGCTCCAGCGAGTTGGCCATTTCGTTTTGTACTGTAGGGTGAATCTGCAAAGAAAAAATGACAGTGGTGAGTTGCTAAGGCAAAACTTATTGTTGTTTGCTGTTAGCGCCAACCTGTTCAGGGTAGGAGACAAACACTGAATGCGAAAGTGAACGGCACGAAGGGAAACTGCTACACAGAGAAAAACTGCAACCGGTGACTTTTCCTGCTGTAAGCAGAGATTGTGAGCTGGTGGTGAGTGACGTTTGGTGGACTGACGGGGTGCCGCTGAAGACGGTGCTGTTGTACAACAAGTGACGACTGACTGATATAGAGGTAGAAGGAAGGCACTACTCAGACCACTATTTCACACTATTCGCCGCCTGAACTGAGCTGGTCGAAGTTTGGCGCCTGCCGAAGAGACCACTGATTAGAGAGAGTACCACTACTGAAGGCGGACTTGAACTGTTGTGGTGATTAGCTGTTGTTCACCGCTAACGAGCACTCAGCACCGATTGTATGGTCCTCGCTAGAGTCGCTGCTGATAAACTCGGCAATCGAATGATGCTGATGGTTGTGCTTGGAAAGGGAGAGTGGCGAGAGTTGATTGTCTGCCTCGTCTGACAGCTCACTTGTCTTTCTGTCAGCGTGCTCAGAACTACACACACACACCGGTGGAGAGTGGACAAACTGCACCGTGACTCAACTTGCATTTTCATCCTGCTCGCCCATTAGTACTACGGCGAGATTTGTAGTAGCTTCAACTGCAGGATAACTTGTTGCTGGTGGGGCTGCAGTCGCACCACGATCGTGCCTGCAAAGGCTGCACGTGAACACTCGAACATTCACTGCTTCAGTGCCTGACTGACTGACTGCCATCTGATGCAGCGGATGCAGTTTACTCGAAGGATAGCAGCTAAGGAGACTGTTTGCCAGTCATTTTATTTTTGGCCAACTATTGCTGATACTAGTTGTGGTGCTAGTTGTGATAAACTTGTGAAGTATAGCTCTTGATTTGCACTTTTACATTTTTTTAAATTTTAGTACTGATTGATGATTTAAAAAATAAGTAAAAAATGTTTTTTATTTTTTTTTCGTTCGAAAAAAAATTTTATATGATGCGTCTAGAAAGTCATTTACTTTTGGCAATTAATGTTTGAAGGCACGCAACAAAATCCTCATTGATTTAGAGGAAATATTTAATGGTATGACCAATTGCTTTGAAACAAAAACTAAAAAAATTGTAATTATGTTTTCCTTGCAGCAGTTGATTAACTCGATACTAGTTAGTGTTGTTGTCTGACAACTGTCAATACAAATGTCACTTTGTGCACATTACTATGCCCAATGACACTGTGAACAAATGTATGCGTAAAGTGGAAAAACAAGCTTAATGACATTTTTTAAAGTACAACTTCAAGTGCGGAAATGTACTTTTACATCGCTTAACGCGCACACAAAAGCGCCAAACATTGATTGAGCTGAAAAGGGCAGAATTGATAGTGGCCTTGACCGGAAAGAATTACGCCACAAAAGTGCGCTGTTAATAAAGCTCAGCAATAGATAGTTGAGAGAAAAGGAGAAAATGCCAGTGAGTGATTCGGTTACTAGCGCGGTGAGAAGGCCACTGATGCCGCATTGGACTGCATTGCCAGATCCAGTGCCACTGCGGCAGCAAATCAGCACGCACACACACTCGCACAGTGCCGAAGCATCACAAGGCAAACAGATGCTCCAAAAAGATCCCGGCCAAAGAGAGGAGAGGGAGGGAGTGTGTGGCAGGCAAGCGTTCAACTGACAAAGGCGGATGTTCCGAAGAGACCAAAGTGGGACAAGGTCGGGTGGTATATAGCCCGATGACTAATGGTGGAACGGTGGTGGTGGTGGCGGTAGTGCTGGTGATGTTGGTAGTGCCGCACTCTTGGCACCCTCTATCATAGCCGCAAATCGGCGGGAAGTCGGCCATTCCGGGTGGACTGCCTGTGTGCCCGAGCAGCGGCATTAGCGATGGGCACAGTGTGCGATGTGCACATTGTGCGTGGTAGTGCCACTGCCACGGACTTTCGGGCGGTTGTCGGTTGTCCACGCAGCATAACGGGCCGTCAATTCAATTGTCCACACAGAGTAAATACTGCCTGCCTGCCTGCTTTCCCGTGCCCGTGCCTGTGTGAATGGGTGAGGAGGCCTAGGAGAGGCACTGGATTCGCACTCTGTGCCCGTGTCTATATGATGCCTACTGGTCGATGCTACTGGAAAGCTGTGTGCACAGATGGAACCGTTCCAATGTCGCTCAGTGGACTGCTGCTGGCACTCAGGGCGCTACGTGTTTGAATGACTCCATGGCACCGTCGATTGCTCAATGAAGGACAGCGTCGTCAATTCCTGACAGCCTCGCAGTGTTGACCACTTGGCCCGCCGTCCATCAACTGGAGACAGCATCCTCTTCTTCATCATCTTCATCATTATCACCAGCCGTTATATTATCTGACCCAAAACAGGAGTTTGCCATTAGCCACCCGTGCCAAGATGTCCCCGCTCTTCATCGTCGCCCTGCTGTCACTATGTCTGGTTCTGGCCACTCACGCACAGGAAGAGACCCTCACAATGAGGGGTCTCGTCGAGTTGGTAAGTTACACCGTTTTACCTTTATTTTGCTGTTGACACTCTCTCAATATTTACCCAATAACAATTTGTTGTGCGTGTTCTGTGTGTGTGCCTGAGCAGAAAGCCCCCTACGCTGAAAGGGACTACTCGACTGATAAGATCAAAGGCTTCTACGTGGATCTGCTTGACGAACTGGCGCTGATTGGCAAGTTCAACTACACACTGGTGGAGGCGAAGAACGCCACCCGCAACAAGACCGCCAGCAACCAGGTCAGCCTTGACCAGCGCCAACTGGTCAATGATGTCTACAGTCAAGTAAGCCTACCTAACGCGATTAAAGTTAATGTACATGACTGAGCTAATGAATGTCACCTTTCGCCATTGCTAATTGCCACTTTCCCTTTCACACACTCACTGACTCTCACTGTAGCGGGCAGACTTTGCGCTTTCAGATAAGCTCTACAAGGGAAACCACATCACGGCACGACACTTGCTGTTCACCGACACTTACCTGGTGTCAGGCTTCAGTGCACTCGTGGCGAAAGAGCGCCTGGAGGACAATGGCGTCAACTCGCTGGAGGAGCTCTTTGCAAAGAACCGCGTCAGAGCCATCCAGGACCCGGAGTACAAGGGCATCGCCCTGGGCTCGGTCCTCAACAGCAACACCTACACCGAGCTCAGTCTGAGCAGTGACAAAAACATTGGACGTCGAATCTACGAGTGGCTGTACAAGGAGGAGAAGAAGTTCGTCGACACGCGTGAGAAGGGAATCCAGCAGGTGCGCGACAAGCCATTCGCACTGATTGAGGTCAGTTTCGGTTGTTGGATTTGCCGCTAAAACTCTGTGCTCACTTTAATTGCTCACTTTTGTTTTCACTTTCGCCTACCACACACAGCTGGGATTGGACAATGAGTTGGCAGTGGACGAGGACTGCGACCTGACTGCACTGCCCATTTCATTTGTCTACGCGAACGGCACGAAGGAGGGCGTTGTGCGCGAGTACGGCATTGCAGTCCAGAAGACATCCTCCAGAAGCCTGGACATTCTCAACAAGGGCATCAGAGAGCTGAAGGTGAATGGTAAGCTGGACGAGCTGAAACGTCGCTACTGGAATCGCAAATGCAACGGTGCACCCTCTGACAAGGTCCACTATGTCATCACCTCAATGTGCACCCTCTTTTCCCTGGCAATTTCTCTCTTCCTGCTGAGTTAAATTGCTCTTTTTTGTCGGCATCGGCACTACCTCCTTCATAACCAGACCACTCACTTGATGCCGAAGTTGGTCATTCATCCATTCAGGGACCACCACAACAACAGCCACAACCAAAACCACCACCATTAATTCATTACATCTCATAATGTGAAATGTCTAAATCTCATTCCATCTCCCGCCCGCCAATGTATACCCCACCACATTATCCTCTTCTTTCAGTTTTCCTTCTCCATTTTTCCATTTGTGTACATAGCAGCAACTCCCTCTCTCTCAATTTCACTCAATGTCACGTCAACGCTACAAGGAAACTTATGGACAGCCTCAACGAACAAACTCACAGCCTCACTTACTTTGATTGAAACTTAATTTTAATCTGTACATTTCTTGTCATTTTTTCTTCATATGGTGTGCGTCGTTCTTCATCTAAAAAACGCTTTTCACTACAAAAACTCATCATTTTTTGTGTTGTACACTATGTTTATCTGTATTGCCAAAAAGACTCAGTGCACAAATCAACCATTCACCATGTGACTCGGTGTTCACTCCATTGTACTATTTCCAAAAAATGACCATCGAATTTCGATCACAGATCGTCGTGCCATCTTAGATGGAGCATCACACATCACCTCACATCGCACCATCTCACATCACACATTCCATCACTTCACTGACACAACTTCATTGCTACTCACTGATTATTAGCGCATTGTCGTACTAGATTTCCGTTTTTGCTTAAGAATTCATAATAAACAAAATGGTGAAGTGATTCGGCTTTCTCTCTGTCACACGTACGTACAGACACTTGACATTGCATTTCACTGCCGAGTACTCTTCTTCCTTTCTGTGTGGACACTGTGTGTTTGGTGGCGGTCATAAGCCAATTAATTTCACTAGACTGATGCCGATCACTTTCAATTGGGCATTTCCGCTCAGAAGGCAAGCAGCTCAACAGTGCCAGTCGCGGCTTGGCGTCATTCAGTCCAGTGCGCCGCACACTCTATCACGCAAGCAATCTCAATGATCATTCAGCGGCGAGCTTTACCGCCGTATCCACTTTGAATGCTCTCTAAAAATGACTCTTTTGCACGCCATCATTCTCACCATTGCTCTGCTAACCCAGTCTGTTCCTTACTCTCTTGCGCTGTACCTGGCAAGAACTGCCGTAAAGCACTCCAACTATATTGAGGGAAAAGTTTCCCTCAGAGGCATAACCGTCTTGGTAAGTTTTCCAA